CTCTCCCATTCCCATTTTATTAATTGTCTTTTTGTGTCTTTTCGTGTCTTTTCACTCACTTTCTTCTTCCCTCCTTCCCACCCCTCATTCCTCCCTTGAACATCAATATTGGATGATGAGGTGAATGCCCCCACAAAGACAAATTCCAACCTCTAAAAGACACTCGTGTGCATTTCTAATAGATAACTGTGGGTAATATCTATATATATTATTATAATATGATAGAAATTAGAAAGCAACTATACACCATGTTGACAATGATATGCAAATCATTTTCCTTATTATTCACTGATGAAGAACACACACCTGGCAAAATAGTGCTTCCTGATAAAAAATGCCAGAATAAAGCAAATAAAAACCCCTTGCATGTGGATCTTCAGACTGGAAGATTAAAAAAAAAATTCAAACAAACCTTCTCTAGTGAAGCAACTATTTTACTCTTGGTTACAACGCTATAAACAATGTTGCAAAGATAGACAACAAAATAAACAAAACCCATTACAAGGTTCTCTCTTATCTGCTCCAAAGTATCAGTTGCTACAAGGCATCTCATCCCAGGTCTGTTGTTTCCTTTTCCTTATAAATCAAGGGGGTTTTTACCCTAGCATCAGAAGTGGTTGACCAAAAATGAATTGTGGTGCATACAAAACTTTAATTTAAAAACTTATATCATGAGAATCAGGCATTGTATGCATAATTTACCAAATTCTCCCTAGCTCATATTTCACTCTCCCTAGTTTATATTTCACTACTCATACCATACAGAATTCTGCTTTACACCGACTTCAAGTATCACTGTATCTTGTTAATTTTAAAGATGTGTGCTGATTCTGACAATCCCATTTTGTGCCAAAAGTACATTCTTTTCAACTTCCTTCCTCAAAGTTACGTTTTTGCAATCTAAACTTTCTTTACTTCGCTAGTGCTTTTAGAGGAATTAAAATAATCATGTAAACTCATAATTTGCTTCTCCAGTTTATTTTGGGAAGGAATTGATACCCATGTACTTCCTGATCCACAGTTTTTTGGGTTTTTTTTCTCCTAATCTTGTGCAACTTTCTTTCTCTAAGTTTAAAATATTAACATCACGAGTGAAGAACCTTTACTGCAGTACTCTAAACTGGTGTTATATTTTCTTGGCTGCATTTTCCAAGTGATTATCTTGTCATAAACTGATAGAATACTTCTCTGTTTGGAAAGCTTTTAGATCTTTTTCTTGTAGGTGCTTAAACTCACGCAAATTATTTTTTTCACTAATTATTATTCAGTTGTCTTCAAAATAATCAAGATATGTTGCACCTACTTCATTTGGTGCTGCTCTCCAAAAGTAACCATATCCTTTCTACTGCAGTCAACATAAAATCTGTAACAAATGATTCCTGCAAATTTAACCTTATGTGCAAAGACATCTGCAATTTCAAGCAGAAGTTCTCGGTGATAAATTGTAGTTTTTGTAAGTTTTGCAGATGACATAAATATCTTCCCAACACCATGCCTGCAACAACATATGAAGTTTAAAAAGGACAAGTGCTGGATTCTGCACCTGGGGTGGGCCAACCCTGGTTGTGTGTGGAGACTAGGGAAAAAGACTCTGGAGAGCAGCGCTGTGGAAAGTGACCTGGGAGTCCTGGCTGATGGCAAGTGGAACATGAGCCAGCAGTGCCCTGGCAGCCAGGAGGGCCAGTGGTGTCCTGGGGGGCATCAGGCTCAGCATCAGAGCTGGGCATGGGAGGGGATTGTCCTGCTCTGCTCTGCTCTGCTCTGCTCTGCTCTGCTCTGCACTGGGGTGGCCTCGCCTCGAGTGCTGGGGGCAGTTTTGGCACTACAATATAAGACATTAAACCATTAGAGAGCTTCCAAATGAGGACCACCAACGTGCCGAAGAGTCTGGAGGAGAAACTTTATGAGAAGCAGCTGAGGTCACTTGGTCTGTTCAGCCTGGAGGAGATGAAGGGGAGACCCCCTTGCAGTTACAACTTCCTCATGAGGAGAAGACACAGGGCAGGTATAGATCAATTTGATGACCAGTGACAAGACTAGAAACAGCATGAAGCTGAATCAGGGGCACTTAGGTTTGATATCAGGAAATGGTTATTTATCCAGAAGGTGGTTGGGCACTGGAACAGGCTCACCAAGAAAGTGGCAGCCACAGCATCTGTCCTGTCTTAGTTCAACTGTTTGGACAATGCTCTCAGGCACATGGTGTGATTTTAGTGTCCTGTTCAGGGTCATGAGTTGGACTCAATGATCCTGATGGGTCCCTTCCAACACAGCATATTCTGTGATTCTATGATTCTATAAATGCAAGCAGTTCTGTATTGTTCTTGTAGACAAGTTGCCTCCCAAACAGGCAAAAGCAGTAGAGTATACTTTGAATGTGAAGCCATTACACTGCAGTTTTCCAAGCACTTGACAAGTTACTTGTAGGATTATTAACTCTAATAAGATATTACTCAGTTGCATGTCTATAAACTCCTTTCACAGTCATTAAATAATGATGTAATCTACTTCTATAGATATAACCAAGTCATTAGTTCTTTTAAAGTCTCTAGAATTATTTTTCCCTGTAGAAATGAGATTAGCTATAATGCATGAGAATATTTTGCATTATCCACTGCTCTGTAATACTTTTTAGCTCCAATAAAGCAAAATATTTAACAAAACTATTCTGACAGACATCATGGAAATGCTTCTTCATAAGGATTCCTTTCAAATGTATGTGCAAACTATGCATCATTCTAGCAGAGGCTAGATCACAATCCTTTTCTTCTGAGACTGTGCACCTAATACACAGGATATAAACCCATTATAAATGTCAGTTCTCTCAACAGCATTTCATAAATACTGCTGAAATATTGGATTAATCTCATTCTTAGCTGTTTTGGGAAAGCCCCAGATGCTGGTTTTTTCTACCTTCATTTCTTTTGTGAAAAATTTTACTTTACATCCTATTTTAAATTTTGTTCTATTTCCCCTTATGAAGCTGTCATATTTTTTTTTAGATCTTTCTTTAACCGCTTTTGTTAAGTTTAAGACTTTTTTTAACTCTTATTTTACCTCCTTTGGTGATTGCTGATTCCTGCAGGTATGTCCTGTAATTGTTTCATCTTGATTCAAGACAACTGTCCGCTCACATACCCCCTTGTACAACACTATTTTTTCTCTTGACACAGATAATTTTTTTGTTACTTGGAATCTTGTGGATGAATAACAGCTGAATAATGTCTCTGATGTGACTCAAAATTAGTAAAGAAATAGTGCCTTCTGTCCCCATATAAAGTAGGGAATAAAGACCTACAGAAAGTTTACTCAACTGCCTTGGCTCTTTACATTCAGTATTTCTTCCCCTAAACTTAAACTCCAGAATTCTGATCCTGAATTTATCATTGTTTTAAAGATGTTTTCTCTGGTGTTTATGATTCTTCTCTGACTTACACATTAACAGAACAATTTTTAGAGTGTTTTGGTCTCTCTGATTTCTATCAGTTTGACGTTTCAATGCTCACTTAAATTTCTGGGGCGTGCCTCAGATGCTTCACAAGTTTGCATGCAGCTTATTTAAAGATTACAAAATATCCCTAAGATTTGATTTTTTTTCCTGCTAAACCTAAATGAAATGTGGGCTTTATACTCAAAATAACACAAAGGTTTATAAATAAGAAAATATAAGATGCCAAAAAGACCAGCAGGTCTGAAGTTCAGTCAATTCTGTCATTTGCACATGTATAGAATATATTCAGCAACACAAGAGCCACAATAGAACGGGGTGGAAAAATTGGTATGAATCAAAACTATATTCCTAACAACAAACTCTTCAAAGGCAGAGTGGACAGAATCATAACTTCTTCAGCAGGTGTCTGTTACACAGAAAATTACTGAAATAGTGAAAATTTCAGAGATTGAAGCAGCAGTACATATATCCAATATATAGGCGAATCTGTGTTTGATAATACTAGGTACCTCTTTATCCAAGATATTCCAGTAAACTTTATTTCTTAAAATTACTTTCCATGTGCCTTAATTATAGTACTGGGCACAACTTTCCCAGTGCAATGATATAACATATGTTATTAACACAGATGAAAACACCACCGATGAAAGTACCAAACTTAAGACCTGTCTGAAAAAAAAAAAAATGTATCCACATCAATGACAAAATGATAAATTCTTGTTTAAAATGAAGTTGAAATAAATACTTACCTGATTAATAAGTCAATAGAACCACCTTATAATATTAAGTGGAATTATTGTGTGGTACTCGCAGTCTCTGTGTGACACCATTTTTATTCCCATCTATCCTGAAATTTAATGCTGGATCTTCACCTCATATCCTTTAAAAAATCACTGCACTCAGTTCTTGCTGAATCCCCTTCTGTGGATTCTAGGAGCCAGGCTACAACCAAGTTAATACCTGCAGTTTGCTTTTAATCTAGAAACTAAAGTTTTGTAATTAGTAAAAAGCAGCTGACCTGGAAAATACTTAAAGGATTAGAATTTCCAAGCCAATATGCAAGCCTATACTCCACAAGGGTAAATCAATATTTGCTTTGTCTGTAGCATGGTATGGAATCTTTTCCTCCTCTTTTAGCAATCTCAGCAATTAGCCCTCTTTAAAAGATTCAGCCCCACTTGCTAATGCAAGCCTTCCACTATTACGACTTCATTCTCTAAACACAGAGATCAAAATATTTAAAACTTTCATTTTTATAAAATAAAGTACTGAACAGTACTATGAACAGTACTGCTGTTATTATTGAACATATGGAAGGCGCCATGTAAGACAAATTTATCATATGAAAATATACATCTATTTATAAAGTAATAACAGTTTTCTTTTTGGAAAATGCAATAAAGTCCATAAAATTTAACAAAATATGTATTGTGCCTGGTTGGAAAAAAGGAAATAAATGTAAATGCTGCCAATGTAGAGAAAGGAACAGTGCACGGGATGTTTCCCATACTGGTGCAGGAACTAAGATTAATGAAAAGAGAACACCTACCCATGGGAGTTCCAACACCGTAACCCTTGGAGTCTATCAGGCCTCCAATCTGTGTTAGGTTACAGTTCCTCTGTGTGACAAACTCAATGGTTGTGGACTCCATTAGAAATGCATAATCAGAGGTAAGCACGCGTTGGATTCCTTCTTCATTACTTTTGACAAGTACTGACTGCCTCCTGCTGCTCATGAAGGCCCACATCTTGTCATAAGTGGAGATTTTGGATTTCTGAAAGACAAATATTAAATGCAATATGACTAAGAATAATATGCCTCTATGAGTGAAAGCAAACTCTCAATTTGAACATTGCTCTCCTCTCAGATTTTACTATGTCAGGTTTTACCAAGGCAATTTTCTAAGGATATCTGTGTCTTTCATCTCATTTGTACTTCTCATCTTATCCATTTAAAAAAAAAAACAACTCACAGTCCAGTTTGTCTGAACAGACCAGACTGTCCAATGTGAAATATCTATTGTTGATCCGTTTTTATTGTTTATGTGTTTTTATGCAGGAGGAAGGCCTACAAGTACTTTAGGTCAGCGGAAAACTATTAAGCATTTCACTCTAGAAAAGATAATAAACTATGTTGTTAAGTTGTGTAGGAGAATCTGTGGATTCTGGCACAAGTGAAATTTTGCTCTTATTTCAATCACTCAGCTAAACAGTTCTGAAAACCTCATGCATAGCGTGGCAATCTGAAGTAATCAAAACGCTCACAGATGACAGTGTATGGAGAAAACAGTTGAGAAGGAGAGGTCAGATAACATTTTACCTACCATACATGACAAAAATACTTGGAGAAAAATTTTAGGTGAGAGGTAATATCACTCTCAGGTCATAATAAGGCTAGCTTGCCTTACAGAAATGGACAACTGGAAGTCCTAAAATTAATATGTGTTTTGTGATTTAATATTTTCAGAATACAAAGAACTGTTGTGGTAGGAAGGGAGTGAGTAATTTGGGACAAAGGAGTCGGTAGTGTGGAAGAAATTGATGCTGTGTAACTACAGAGGAGTTGCTTCCTTTACTTCACCTGAGTTGTTTTAAAAAGGTAATTACCTTCTCTCATTTTTGTAAAACACAGTCCTTAAGAGATCATAATGACTGGATAAACTTAACTTATTAGACATACTGAACCTTTTATACCCCATTTGTCCCATCTGTTTAATAACACTGCAAACTCAAGATGTATCAGAAAATGTTCTGTAATGTTAAATTTTGCCATGTAAATAAAATGTAGAAATATCACATAAACACTAGCATAATCAGACTTTTTAAGGTGCCTTTCCTCTTTTGATGTCACCCTTAAACATATTTCTGCCATCAGATCTGGAAGAAATACTAAACAAAGATTGTCACTACAAACATGTCTGAAGTTCAGATGATTGCCAGCCAGAAATGCTGACCCAAAAGAGAATTGGCAGTGTATGTGGAATGAAAAAGAACATTTATTTAGAAAAAAGAGGTTGCTATGTCCCCCTTCTGACATACAATCCAAGTGCTCTTTCACTATGCCCGGGGACTTGAGAAATCAAGCATTTGAGCTAAGTCTAGTGTCAATGCTAACAAAACTGAAGACTTTTAGGGCTCTGGATTTTGCACATTGTTGTTGTACTGAACATAGTCTGGGCCTGATTGCAAAATATTTTAGTAACAATGAAAGAGGAAAGCATTTCTCTTCAGAGTATTCTGTGAACACATAGAATAGAGATGACCAAATAGATACGGTCTCTCCTCATAGTATTTGTTCTTTTTTCAAATCAAATAACTCTTGCAAGCATTTAAAATTACATGGTAACATAATATACTTCAAGAAATGAATGCTCTGTAGGAATCTAAGTTAATGTATAATGCAGACAGGGTGGAAATAAATGTTTTTCAACACTTGCAAAATTTTACCAAGACCGCTTATTTAATTTTTTTATCATGCAGTCTGTACCCCAGTAAATTTTTTTGCTGCAATAAGTAATCTGAGAAATAAAAAACAGTGGCAGAGAAAAAAATTCTAGCAAATGGTTAGATGCATATTGCTGACACATGGTGGGGGGAGCAAGGAAAAGGCAAATGAGATACAAGAAAAAAAATAGAAGGAACTGTTACTATTACATATGTAATACATACGTATTTTTCTATTTTTGTTGAGAAAAAAATAAATTCAAGGATGAAAAAATATTAGCAAGGGGAATGGTTGCTTTCTACTCAATCATTAGAACATGTGAAAAAAATACAATACACTTTAAAGGACAGAGTGTTCATATTATGATAACTGATTTAATCAGCTAGGATGAAGCCACTGTTACTATTGAAAAGAAAAGGAAAAAAGTCATCAACAAAATCAGAGAAAGATCCTGCACAGGACTGCTCATTTACTGGAATAATTAAAATGAAATGAGAACATTAAAACAGTCTACACATGATTAATGAAGAAGAGAACATAAAAGCTAGAATACTGGTGCACATGGCTCACCACTGTTAAGTTGACAAGGATGACAGAAAGTGCACAAAAATTGAATGCTTTTGCACTACTTTCTTCCACCTCTAAAAGCCAAAATTATGCCAGAGAATAAGGCCATTCTAATTTTGAAACCTATATTTGCTTTTATTTGGTGCACAAGAGATTCTTTTTTTTCAGTCTTAAATTAAAAAACCTTTGTCATTGATTTAGGAAAATATAACCACAAATAGTTATCCTGTCTTTGCCAAAATACTCAGTGGACTCATTGATGAAAATCAAGAAGTCAGAACAACGAAAAGCATCAGAGCCCATTTGACATTGAATTAAATATAATGACACTCCAACATGCTTCCTGTGGTTATGACTGTATCATTCATACTGTTAGAAGCAGATGCTGCAATTTACATTACGTTTCCACCTTCCTTCACTGTGTGCAAATCAATCTGGTTAATCAACCTATACACTCCATCAATGAAGTGCATTATTTTATCTGAGTTAGTTCACCATATTGTCTCATCTGACTGGAAATCACTGTCAGGAGATCCAACCTAACTTGAAATCAACTGGAAATGATGTTTGCATGAGATAACTTGTGGTGACATGATTTACCATGCTTGTGTTCCCTCAGGAATGCTGAAGACGTAAGAAAGCTGCCTATGCCTTGAATTTCACTGGAAGAAAAAAGAGAACTAACTAATAGGAAAGCTGGAAATGAAAAGATTAAGCAAATCTAGAAACTTATCTCAGCATCAAACCTGATGGATAAAATGTTAGCTCTCACAAATGACATTCAGAGTATACTGTCAGTGTCACACTCAGCATTCATGAATTAAACATCATTGGAAGATAACTGTGCTTGTCAGGGACCACAAATGGAACCATGGCAAAGGCTCTAAGTTAGTCATAGTCTAATGCTATGTATAAATATGAGTCTGGAAACAGAATGAGTCATTGTCAGTAATGTGGTACTTACTGCTCCATCCTGGAGCACTGGCTTGGAAAGAAATATCTGAGCAGCGGGACTCTGGACCACAAGGTTAGAAAAATATCAGAATGTTGAAAATATGACAGAATAAACAAGGATCAACGTACATGGAAGCAGACTTCATAGCACAAATCAAGAGTGGATAAATGCACAGTAAAAATGTGCCAGACTAATTCTGACATTTTTCTATGAAGGAAAAATTACAGATCCATTAATGGAGATTTTTATTTTAATGATAGCTTACAACTTCTTTCCTGGCTTCTAAAAGCATTTAGGTGTTACAGAAAATGCCTCAGCTTTGCTTTCACCAATGCAATATTTAAACTCAAAAGAGTCTGTAGTAACTAAGGGAAGATTGAAGATAATTAAGATAAAATTTTGAAAAAAAAAAGTAAAAAAAATCAGCAACCCAGTACTGATATATTTTATGAAAGTATTCTCCACTACATGAGAATTACATCATCACAATTATTATGTGAGGAAAAAAACCCACAGATTCCCAATCCTACTACTAATATTAATAGAATTCTCTAAGAGTCTAACAGCTTTGTGACTTTGTTTCCCTGAGTGTTTCATGCTTAGTGGACACAAGTCACTTTTCTTAAAGTTGATTCATGGATTTTTTTAAAGCTAAAGGAACAATGCCCATTCATGCTGACCTTATGTACTGGGCAAACTATGAAGTGTCACTTCTGAATGACTTCACCAAGCTCATCACTTTCACATTTGCACTGAAATAAAAGAATGACATATGAAGAGAGATTTCAAAAAAAACCAATACACATGAGCCTTATCAAGGTGTTGAACGTGGTCTCTCAAAATATCTTTGATGACAACCTGGAAGGATAAGCACTGGGCAGATGGAGCAGCTACAAGTAGAGAAATTGCAAAGAAAGTCATATTTAACATCTCAAGCCAGATCAGCATCTTGTCAAGATTTGACTGCCTCAAGGGTCAATCCTAGACCTGATACTACTCAGTATCTTTACAAGCAGTTGGGAAAATTGTACTGAAAGCACTCTCATCAAGTTTGTGGATGACATAAAACAGAGAGGAGAGGCAGAAATAATGAAAGAAAGAGCTACCATGCAGATAGGTCGCAAAAGGCTTGGAAATTAGTATAACAGGAAATGTATGAGATTTAAGAAAGATAAATTCAAAGTCTATGCTGCGAAAAAGTAATCCCAAGCATCCATACTGGCTGGGAATTGGCTGGTGGGAGTGAATCTTTGCTGAGAAGGATTTATGGTGCCAAGAAGGCAGCTAGCAGAACATAACTAAGCAGCCTCTCTGCAGCAGGAAAGCAGACTGCAGGCAATATCAGCAGACTATAGCCAGACCCAGAACAAGGGAAGTGATTAATCCAGAATACTTGGAATTTTTCAAGCTGCACCAAGAATGCTCTGTCCAGTTTTCATTCTCAAAGTTCAAAGAAATGGTAAAATTAGACACTGCCCACCAAAGTGATCAGAAGATTGGAGATCTTAACTTAAAAAGAAAGATTTATATAAAATGGTGTTTTTCCTAGAATGGAAGGCTTACAGAGAATCTAATCACTTTCTTCCATTACCTAAAGAAAATGTTAGAGAAAAGCTGAAGACAGTCTCCTCATCAGGATGTGTGGGGACAGCATAAGAGGCAATAGCCAGTGCTTCTAATGGGAAATTCTCTGAGTGAACGGAAAAAATTCTTCACAATGAGAAAAACTAAGTATTGGAACATGTAGTTCAGAGAAGTCGTAGAATCAGTTTACTGGAAATATTTGAGACAGCTTAGTGTAACTCTGA